GATTTTTCTGGTTTCTATATGAGTTTTTCTATGTGAAATTTATGTGGATTTCTAACACTTTTTCTTTTTTTTTAGTTGGTTCAACCATTATTTCAGCCCTGATTTCATGATTATCTCACTACAAGCTTAGAGAAAACAGATACTACATAAGTGGTAGAGATCTTACCTACAACTGCCTTGAAGATGCCAAATAGAAAACCAGAGATGAGATTCCAATCAGGTACGATAGTAGACCCGTGCTTGATGTTGATCTTCCTTCTTTGTATTTTATTAGGCTCTTTTTCTGCTTTCTGATTGTTGTTCCTCTAACCAATACATGAAAACCTCATTTTCCTGTGTTGCAGCAGAATTTTTAATGAATGGTTGGTCGAATTTTTTCTCTAATTGTTAACAGTTGCCAGGTTATGGAATGAACTGAATTTTGATGGATGAATTGTGTATGAAGGATATGGTTAATGAGAGGGCTGTTGGTTTTTTGATGCTATACTTGCAGTGTGTTTTTATGCTGTAACTTCTCTTCTGGTTTTTTGGCTTCTGTGATTGGTATCCTCCCTTTGTTGTGTGTTTAAGTGGATTTTATAGTGAAATGAGGATAGGAATTTGAGGGAAGGATTATTGGTGAATTTTGAACATGTTTGGCAAAGTGATTTTGAACCTTACGATGCAGGTTTTCTTTTTAGTCATTTTTGGTATAAAACTTGGATTGACATGCTTGGAGTTTTTGTGGCTTATAATCTCAGGTTTTGGGCAGAGTTATGCAGACTGTTTTTTGCAGGATATGCAACAGGTTTTTGGTGTGTTGTGGATTGTTTTGGTTTTTTGCATGATGCAGGTTTTATCTTTTCCTCTTTCATCTTTCCATGATGTAAAGAACACTTGCTTTTATCCTCTAATATTTCTGAAGGGTTTGCTTTTGGGACATGATGATGCATATGGTATTGTAGGCTATTGCTAGTCTGCACTATTTTGTGAATTATTACTGTTGTTTTTGGTTTTGGATGTACTGCTATTTTCCAGTTTTGCTTGTTGTTGCTGTTTGCTGCGTTTGGCAGCTTGCTTCTTGTGGTTTTAGCTGCTGCCATTTTCTTTGTTACAGGCCTGTTTTTCCTTGCAGCTTGTTGTTCTCTAGGCTGTTGTTTCTGCGCTTGGCAGCTTGCTGCTTGTGGCTTTAGCTGCTGCCCTTTGCTTTGTTACAGGCATGTTTTGCCTTGCAGCTTGTTATACTTTAACCTGTTGTTTTGCTTGTTAGACAATGTTGGCAATTTTTTCTTTTTCTCCCTTTTTGTGAACCAAAGAGGACAAATTTTTGTGATTTGCAATTTGGGAGAAAACAAACCATGATGAAAAATAACTCCCTAACTGATTCCAAATGCAAACCCTTATGATGAGATACCAATTCCTTTTATCAATTAAATCTTGCTTGGAATTTTTCATATGTTAATTTCTAACTATTTTTTCCTTTTCTTTGTCTTGTTTCATGAACACGATTATCGGATGGCAAGCGGGGTTGTAAGATGAAAAGTCCGAGGCTAGTAAAGAACGTGGGTGATTCTCTTGAAGAGGAAGCAAACAATTGAAGAAGAAACACTTAATTCCCCCCCCCCCCCCCCCCCCCCCCCCCCCCCCCCCTTTTTTTGTAAATAGCAATTGTAACTTGTGATTCCATATTTGTGACATGTCTTGTAACTTGTTTCAAAAGTGTAATGAACACAAAAACTTGAATGAAATATTTTGAATGAATTGGTTGTATGAAAATTAAACAAACTCTTGAATTTTGATTGAAAGAAGCAATTTCCACTTGAATGATTTGAATGCACATCTTGCTTTTATAACTTGAATTTCAAGAAATCATGAACAAATGTTGTAACTTGTATTTCAATCAATCATGCGCCTTATCTTTCAAAATCCAATCAAACTCTCAAACAAAATAAATGCTTGAGAATTTAATTCCACTTGGTTAATTTGAACCCAAAACAAATGGCCACTTAAACCTTATCTTCTCATCACGCTTGAACCAAACTTACACTTCTCGACCAAAACCCTAATTTTGATATTCAAACTACAATAACTTGTAACTTAAGCAACAAAACACGCCTTGATCGTCATGACCCCCAACCTCATTTCTTGTGCCCAAACTCCATATTTGTCAACTTAAACTTCAAACTCTTGACTCAATGGCTTAGAGACTTTAAGAAGAAAACTTGAAATGCGAGGAGATGAAATTCTTGACCTAATGCACTGAGCTTTGAGCCATCTTTGAGGCAGGCGAAAGAAACATCTTCACAGAAATCAAGGACCCAAAACTCTAGCCTCTTGACCAACAAATAGGGACATAAACCCTAATCCAGGCCCTGATAAATTTGAGCGAGAACCAACCTTGTAACGTGATGACAAAATTCATTCCACGATCCACTAATCGAGAACCAGATGCGTTTCCCTTTTACCCGATAAGAGAACTTCAAAATAAAATTAGACATAAAGAGGGCACAGCCCCAATACCTCAAACCAAGGCGCTTGATTCCATGAGATGCGGGATATGCAAATGACTGAGTAAAAAATGGTGCAAATGGGATGCAAAGTTCAAAGTCAGACAAAAGTAAAAGAGATAGGTCAAATTTGGGGTACGACAACAGCATTGCTTCGAACCCGTATATATGGTCGATCGGGTCGGCAATACCGTCGTACTCCTCAGATGGGGAGGCTTCTCCATGCCCGGGGGAATGGGTGCCTCCATGATGGCTTGTGACAAGGGACCACGGGGGTCGTCTTCGTCACTCCTATCAGGCGAGCGAGAAGGCGATCTATTGTAGTGGTGGTTATGATGGTGACTCTGGTCGCGCAGAGCGTTCCTCGGGCGGTATGATCGTTCATTATTTCCCCTGCTCCTGTATCCAGGGGGTCTCTGCTCTTGATGCGGGGGGACATGATCGCGTCTCCCCGTATTGATGGGCCGGTCCCTCTCCAATGCGGGGCATCGCCCTATTGGTCGGGGAGAGGGACTTCGAGAGGCGTCCCGGCTGCGTCTCCGCAGGGGAGATTGGGGACGTTCCTCTACTTGGAGAGGAGGAGGGGAATGGGGCCTCCTCTGTCTTCTGGGGACTCTTAGAGCATCTTCGAGCGCCCTCAGTCTTTCTCCTTGAGAAAAGATCAAATAATTCATTTAGTTTATCGCCGCGAACAGTGTCCTGGTTATGGCATCTGCTCCGACGGGAACGGGGACCTCCCGAAATTGGGCGGGTTGGTAGTTCTGAGGAGGTGGTCGATCGTCTTCAAGTCATCGAGGTAGTGATGATGACGAGGAATGAGCAAGTATGAGAGTCTAGAAAGTGTTGAATACCTGACTCTCTCAGAAGAGAGAATATTTATAGCCCCCAGCGTTGGGACAATGTCCCCATTATTGGACCACATTGAGGCTCAATAATGGAAACTGTCAGGACTTACATGTGTATGGAGTTCAGCAAATGAACTTGTCCCTGATCAACTGCTCCGTGAGAATAGGGGTTGGACCCGTGATTCCCGGAAGGCAGTTAAGATGACTGACATGAGGACGTAGGCCACGTCCCCCAACAGATATGTGGGGAGTTGTCCAACAGTCTCCAACTTGGATTGTCTGTTCTTTGAACCTTATAGTTTGGACCTCCTATCCGAGGAGCAAGTGTAGGCTCAGTTCAGATCACTAATCAATAACCATTGCTTCTTTTTTTATCTATCCATTTTTTTAACCTAAAATGCATTATACAATTACTCTAAAAATTATAAATAAAATTTATTTTTACAATTTTTGAAAATCATAGCAAAAAAAGTATAACATTACTTAAAAAATGTTTAAATAATATTTTTAATTTTGACTTATAACTTTTAAATAAACAAAAAAAATCTCACATTCTTTCTAAAATATACTTCAATTATAATTGTAATTACATATTAAAATATTAAATTTCAAATATGAAATTAAACAATCATTCAACCAATTTACATATAAATATTCTAGAATATATTAATTAATTAAAAATAATTAATATGATAAGACAATTTAAATGAATTAAATCAATTATATATATTAAAATTAATGAAATTAAAATTAATGAAATAATGAAAGACAAACACACAAAAATAATATTCACCACGTCCATTTCACTCTCAAACTAACTATCAAGACTTTGTAAAATGGACAATTCCATCTTAGATTTAATATCGACTATAGTTATTGATTACATAGTGTCTGGATTATTTAAATGTGGAATATATTCAATTCATATAATATTGGATAAGTGAAAAATAAGCAATAAAAAACTACATAAAATTTATACACTTATTTCACATTTTTTATCTTAATTTTAATTTCTTATCTTATATTTCCAAAATTCAAACATATTTTTTCACTTAAAATTATATATTTCCAAAATTATATGTTTTTTTATAAGGACAACCAAAATCTATCTAATCTAATACTATTTAAATAACTCATTTCAATTCCGCACATTCCACAAGTAAAATTTTCAAAACACTGACTTTGGTCATGGAAAGCTATTTTTCACTTATGAAAATGAGTTGCTCAAAAACTGCCTAATTATAGCAATAATTATTCAATAACCAAAGTCTCAAACTTGCACCAATCAATATATATGTCTTGTTTACATTTATAAAAGTTGTTCCCATTAAAAATATCTTCCAATTACAAACATGTTTTTCAGATCATATTTTGAACAAGCAATGAATCCAACACTTAAAATAACTTTAGGAATATAACTACAAATTAAATCCATAAATTTAAAGTCCTTAAAAGTACTATAACATTTGATTACATTAATTAAGTATATACTGATGAGTAAGTAAATATCTATGAGTAATAATAATAACATGCACTCATTTTCTTTACAAAGAATACATTCTGAAAAGGTGGAAAATGTATAACAAATTCACAACCAATTGTCAAAACACAACACTTTCTGTAAATCAAATGAATAGAGAATCGAATTATCGAGTGAAAATCACAATTCCTATCCATTAGGTTTAGGCGACTTGATATAATGATAATTCGGAGAACCGTTTTGACCATTTGGACTCGACAATATCCTCATAGGCTGACCTTTCTTCGATAAAGATGTTAACTGTGATTGCGCACCGTTTTTCGGCATCGACATCGTACGATCTACTCGCACGACTTGAAAGTGATACGACGTGATAGCCATGTCTTTGAGGTTTTGCAGAGGCTTTAGAGCTTGAACAACTTCACTCATCATAGGTCTGAGTTTTGGATCGCGGCTAAGGCATTGAGCGGCTAGTTGGGCGGCTTTCTGTGCTCCTTTGACCGAGAAGTGACCTTCGAGACGAGGATCGATTATCTGGAATAACAATCTTCGTTCTCCTAGTACAGGTCTCGCCCACTCGACAAGGTTGTGTTCCCCGTTCGGTCTATTCTTATCAACAGCCCGTCGGCCAGTGAGCATTTCAAGTAGCACTACGCCAAAACTATAGACGTCGCTTTTTGATGTCAAATGACCTAATCAAAATCATCAGTTCAGGTCAAAATTAAAACTGATCGCGTGCAATGGTACAAATCTTCGAAAAAATAGGAAACAAAGTGACAATAATTATCATTTCAATGTTTGGATTTGTTTTACCATGAAAAATCCTTCTAACTACTACTACTAGATTTTACAAAGTAGTTAAATAAACAATTTAGCATATGAAAGGAAAAAAATGTAGTATAAAACAATGGCAAATATTAATCATTTATTATGTCAATTCCTTACAAGGATACAAAATCTTAAATTTGTACTAGGGAAAAAAGAGCGCTTAAATTTATGACAAGTCGTAGAATTTATGCATAATAACATACAAGATAAGTGGTTATGCTATAAGCTCTTAATTAAGTTGTTTGTCAAGAGAGAGCCCTAGAGTAGGGATGGCAAAAGGGGCCTGGTCAACCGAACATGCCCGTTTTGCCCACATTTTTTCGCGGGGCGGATCAAGGTTTTAGGCCCCTGCACCTTCTACTATGCTCGCCCCACCCCTTTTTTTGCGGGCGCAGACAATAACTTGAATTTTGCAAACATAGCCTAAGGCTTTAGGGGTGAGGGGCCGTCGGACCACCCCCTCTACGATGCCCGCTCCGCCCCGTATTTTTACAGACTTTTGCGGGGCAGATATGCCAGTTTGCCACCCCTACGCAAGATTGTTAATCGCATCATGAAAATTTAAAAGTTATGAAACAAAAAAAGGGAGGAAACTAACCGGTCATTACATACTCCGGAGCTGCATAACCATATGTTCCCATAACTCTTGTTGATATATGTGTATTTTCACCTTGAGGACCATCTTTAGCAAGTCCAAAATCAGAGAGCTTTGCATTATATTCCTAAAAAAAGTAATTTTTCTTTAATGTTTTGAAGTTGAGGTAGAATCGAAAAATAATTGAAAACCTTTTCCCATAACGAACTCACGTACCGCATCTAATAGAATATTAGACGTCTTGAAATCACGATAGATTATAGGCCTTTGAGCTCCTTCATGGAGAAAATTAAGTCCTTTTGCTGCGCCGAGCGCAATTTTCATTCTAATGGCCCACGGAAGAGGCAAGGACCCTTCTGCACAATTCATGGTTGTTACCAGAAAACAATAAATTTCCTTATGCATTCGAATTTTTAAAAGCCTACGGACCGGATAACGGATTTGGATTTGCCGCAGTCACAAATATCACACAGTCAACACATCACAGGTCTTTGGACCGAGACCGGACAGTCCAGAATTCAAGCTCAGTATTTTAGAGAAGGTCAAAATCTACGTGTTTATTGCATTGTTCGATCTCAATCCAACGATCATGGATGTGCTGACTGAATACACAAAAAAAAAAGTAGCAGTGGTTAACATCATACTTCTGAAGAGGTGGTTCTCCAAACTTCCACGCGGCATAAACTGATAAACCAATAATCTTTGATCATCTTCGATACAAAAACCAATCAATTTAACCAGATTCGGGTGAACAATATCACCAAGAATGTTTAACTCAGCCTGGAAAGGAAAACAAAACAAAATTCAAGAATGTTAACAAAAAGGTAACATAAACAAAATTCATCGAGTGAAAAAAATAGCCGAGAGAAAAAGGGTATATAAGTCTCATTCATACAAGCCACTCTTTGTGACCCTGAAGTCCATCATGGTTGAGGGTCTTGACTGCAACGGTAAGTCCAGTACCTGGTTTCACAGGTGCAGTTCCGTTCTCTTCAATCCAACCTTTGAATACACAACCAAATCCTCCCTCACCAAGAAGACTCTCGGGTCGAAAATTCCTAGTTGCCATCTTTAGCTCAACGAATGTGAATTTTCTCAAATCAGAAGAAAACTTCAACTCCTCACTAATTTTCGGAGTAGAAGGGATACTTTCTGCATTACTAGTTGTCGAAGATCCCGGTGGAGCACTCCTTTCCCCTTCCCTTTTCTCACATGCAGATGTTTTTTCCACTAAGAAAAATAAATTACTATTAGTATCAGTTAAATTCACTACTAAAGATAAGCGCTTATTATGCTATAAGCACTTAATTAAGTTTATCCAAACAGAGTCATAGTGTTACTAGCCAAAGGTAATGCACAACAAATCATTGTTTTGAAACTCAATTGTTTGCAAACAAGACCTCCAATTTCCATTATTAGCAAAAGTACAAGAAAAAAAATTGCATCACTTCAATTAAGTCACAACCTAACTAAAATTAACAGCTCAAAGATAAAACTAGATAGACATAACCTAAGATTAAACATCAAAAGCAATTTTTTTTTGGTCAAGTAGTCTTATGGCAGAAATTTCACACTTTAAACGTGAATAAGTGGGATGTCGCGGGTTTAAATTCGCACTCTGCAATCTGATGTCCATGCACGGCTCCCAACCAAGCTGGTTTAACGGCCTCTAAACAAATCTTTCTAATTCTACTAACTTTAATCTAAAGCAAAAATCATTTCAAGAAACTAAAGAAATAGAACATAAAAGGAAAAAAAATTTACCACTAATACTATAAGCACTTGTGGTGCCACTTTTGGAAGAATCAACTTTTGATCTTGAAGGTATACACTTTCCAAAGCAATAAAATTTAACACAACATCCAATTTCCTTCTCATCATCACCACCCTTGTTCATCTTTCCCTTTGACTTCTTCCCCACATCCAAACTCCCTGCTTGAATTCCATTATCCCTAAACCCCATCTTCCAAAAACACTTACAATTTTTTCACATATTCAAAACTCACAAAAGATTCAAACTTTAGAGCAAGGTTACAAAATTAGACAAAAAATAGAAAACACCCACTTGAAGAAATCTCAAAAGGCAGTGAAATTTAGAAATATCATTAAAGGAACAAAAACATCATAGTTATGAGTCAAAATAACAAAAAAGATGAAACTAATGACTTAAACAAAGACAAACCAATTGAGTCCAAAGGGGCTGTATGTGGGAAAGAGAGAGAGAGAGAGATTGAACTAGCATTTGCATGTGAAAGAGAGTTTATTTTTCAACAACGGGCAGGGCGGGCAGGAATGGAATGTAAAAGGAAGAAACCGGGCAGGACGGGCAAGTGAGAGAAAGAGACAGCCATTTGCTTTTCTGTGAGAAGAGCACTTGCTAGTTGCTCCTTTCCTCCTAATTGTTTGACTTTCATTTTTGCACTTTAAACAAGATAATATTATTTTTTCATGTAAAATAATTCAATTATTAAATGAAAATCATGTGTTATATTATTTCATAAATTCATTGATTACATGATTTTGCTGCTTATCTTTTGTGCAAAAAAATTCTTGAGTAAGTTTTTATTTTTATATTGGGAATGACCAAAATTTTAATATATTTTTTTTTAAATATGTTTTTGGTTTCTATTAAATTATTAAATTTTGTTTTTATTCTAATAAAAATTAATATATTTTAGCCTTTACAAAATTATTATGCACGTAATTTAAATTTTTGTTGTTAAATCAATATGTATTTTTGAATGATTGTTTTGCCGATATGTTTAAAACATCATAAAAAGTTTATAAAAAAACTCTAAATTTGATTTCTAAGTCAAAATTTTCATTAATTTTATTATTATTTTTAAAAAATTTATAAATTTATATTTAATTTTTTTTTAATTCTAAATTTTGGTAAAGAAATATTTTATAATATTCTAAACATGTATGAAAAAATTTATTAAAAAATTTAAAAGTTCATATTTAATTCTTCTCTTTTTAAAAAATTCTAAATTTTGGTAAAAAAAAATATTTATAGTATTCTAAACATGTCTGATAAAAATTATTAAAAAATTTAAAAGTTTAAGGATAATTAAATAATTTTCAAAATTTTAGAAAATGGCATAAACTAAAACATCATTCATAAAATTTTTGTAAGATTCAAAATATATCATTTTAGGGACTAAAAATGAAATTTGAGATATTTATAGTAATTTTGTTCGGTGATGTTTTTGGTTATAGAGAGTGTAAACTCACGTGAGGTAAAAAAAATTGTGCTTAGGCGATATTTTATGTATAATATGATATATTCCTTCCTATATTAGGATGAGATATTTATAGAGGCACTAGGGCCAGAAGTTATGGTTTTAATGGAAACGATAACTGCCCACTTAGTCAGTGATGGACAATTGAATCTCTATTTTCTAGGGAGACGTGGATTGACCGTCTGACCATAACTTCTCTCTAAACGATGAACGTATTTTCCCATGTTTTCCATGACTAGGCGAGTAGAGAGCACTCAGGGCGAGATAATCCCTAATTGTAGGCGAAAATGAGAGTCGTCTCTCATGGGTGATTGTAATTATCTTTCCCTTAATAGACCTTTTATAAATATATCACTATACAGTCCATCAAGCACATAGGCTTTGTTAAATGAAGAAGTGCTTTAAACGAAAAAGTATTGGGGGCATCCTTTTGATGAGACCATAAGTCTCCCATGATGAGACTCCAAGTCCTTCAGAAGAGTGTGAGCCTCTTAGACGGGACTTTAATCTAACCCTCAAACAAGACTTTAAGTTAAGTCTCTTAGGCCAGACTTTAGTCGCACCCCTTGGGCAAGACCTTAGGTTGGACCTTGTATGAGGCGACATTAAGGCAAGGTGTTTGGATAATCTTTTTGATAGGACTTTGTTAGGGACTAAATTATTGATATATTTTTAGATAATTTTGTGTTCTTGGCACTCTATTTTTGATAATTAGTTGTGTTTAAGTTGTAAATAGACATAAATAAGAAATTATATAGTTTTTAAGATACATCACTTTATTTACTTAGTTTTTTGCTCATTTTGTAGGTTTTGATGTTGGAACATTGGAGCATTGAAACTTTGGGCAAGCTTGAGCCAAGAATGTGGTGCAACAAGTCAAAATTGGGACTTTTGTTCAAACTAGCACGTTAAGCGCAAGTTGCAGCACGCTTTTGATATTTTGCGCATTTGGCAGAATGTCTGTTTTTTTGGTCCCACTTAGCACGGTCCACTGAAATAGAATTAATAATTTTTGCATTGAGCTCGCTTAGCGCACCCTGGTCGCTTAGCGGACTCACTTTTTGGGCACTTGTATAAATATCTACTTTTGTGATATTTTGTTCACTAACTCTTGTACAACATTCAAAAATCAGATTTTTAGGACTAAGAAACACTTTTTTTTAATCATTTTGTAACTCAAGATCAAAGGTTTCTACTTCAAATCTTTGATATTTTCTTGTTGATGTTCATCAAGCTTCATACTTTTCTTGTTGAGCAAACTACCATGGTGATGGGTAGCTAAATCATTCTTTGTGTCAAGATTAGAGGTAGATGATCTTTGTTTTTGTATGTATTTAGCTTGATCATTTGTATGTGAACATCTTGATGATAAATATATGGTAAAAATTATTTTTTTATGGTTTATATTTGAGTTGGTTATTATTGAGAAGTGTGTTCATCTCTAGACCTAGGTTTTCACTTATCAATGAACAATTTCTAGACATAGTTTTGTAAGTTGATATTCACTAATATTGAGCTTTTAAAGTTATCAAATTGATAGTTGGGTAGAGAGATCATTTAAAGATCAATTTGATAAAACTCACATTTTGTTTTAGAGATGAAACATCTTGAGAGGATATGTGATTATATTTATGATTAATGAGTTCATGTGCTTGATTGAGAAAATACGTATGAAGGAGATTATCGAGCCCTAATCTTGACACGTTTTTACCAAACATTTGAAACCAAAACTTTGTTTTACTTAAATTTGTTATTTTGCATGAAATCGACATTTTCCGTTACTAAAAACTAACATCAAACCCTTTTATGAAACTTAAGCTTAAAACGATTATAATTGTAGAAAGGAAGTCATATCACACCAATCCCTGAGGAAAACGATAATATAAAATACTTGTGTTAAAAATACGTACAATAAAATGATGTCGTTGTCGGGATTGGTGTTTGATATTGCAAGCATTGCAATAGTTCTATTATTTTAAGTTAAATTATAACATTTTAATATCTCTTGTTTTCTTTTTCACTCGTTTGGTTAGTGTTTTCAGACTTTTGTTTTTGCGAGGAAGTGTTTCTGAAGACCAACTTCTTTTTTATCCTGAAATCGAAAGAACTTGTAGAAGACTTAATAATAAGACACGAAGGAGGAGAAATCTAGCTAAAGAAAGGAAAGAAAGAGAGGAAGCATTTACTTCTTAAACAATCCAAAATCTAGAAGAAGTTATGGCGGATCAACCACCTCCACCTAGAGGTCCATGCAAAAATAGTCCGAGACGAAATGCTCAATTTGTTCACCAAGCTAATGCGAGGAAATCAGAGATGAAAACTAGCATACTACAGCTTTTGTATGCTAATCCTTTCACTGGCCTGGATCATGAAGACCTATACTACCATCTCACAAAATTCTATGAGATTTTAGGTTGCGTGGGAGTTCTAGAAGCTGAAGAAGAGTAAGTTTTCAAGAGACTATTCCCTCATTCTTTAGTGGGGAAAGCCAAAGATTGGTGTGATACGGTGGGAGAACTGACTTGGTTATTTTGTGTTTTATCGCAAATATTGCGGTTATCAAGATTTGCCACCGACTTTTCTTTTATCCAAAAGGAAAGGTGAAAAAGCACAGAAAAGACCTTTGAGATTATTTTTTGAGTTTGGGGGGTAGATTATGAAAAGGGAAGGTATTATCACCCTTTTCATCCATGGTTTTCCATGGACTCTTAGTTACTTGCTAGATCACTTGCTTTTGTTTGAAATTATGCTTTGTATGGTTTTTTGGAAGTATTTTAAAAAGGTGTCATCGTTTAGACAAACTTTGTAATGATTCTCGTTCGTAAGAATATATACAAAGTGTTGATCTTTTGAAAATGTTTTCAAGTTTGAAAGATATTTTTGAAAGTATTGGTGTTTGTTTTGAAAATAGCAAGGATGTTTTTGGTTTTTTGAAATTAAGCAAGCAACTAGGAACAATCTACCTACTCAAAAGTCTTTCATGTTTATTTCCTCTTTCCTTTGACATTGTCATCTTACCATTGATTTGGTAAGTAACCCAATCTTTGGATGTAAACGGGACGGGTGTGGGTCATCGTATAACCATGATCAGCAATGTTTCAAGGTATCTTAACATCTTTCTTTAGGGACTATGATCATTTTGAAAGGTAACTTTTGATAGCGTCGTCGAGGGACTATGATCTTGTATTTTGCTTGTCTTTTGCTAAGATACCTCACATGCGGAATATGGCTATTTTTATAAGGCAACCAAGTGGATTTTACCCTAGGGGTGCTTGTGTGCAAGTGTATTGATTTTTATGCTTTGTTTAGTCTTTTATTAGGGTTTGCTACTTGTTGATTTTATCTTCTCATACAAACCCTAATTACTAGCATTTATATAAAGCGATAAATTGCGAAAAGTAAAATTACTACGCTATTACATCATTAAGGGAGGGGGTGTACAAATTTATAAATGGGGATTGCAAGAAAATTAAACCTAATTATCTATTATAACCATATTGAATATTGTACAAAATTGAAAATAAAATGCAAGAATATAAATGAAAAAAAGAAATGATTTTTGTTGTTTTTTATGAAAGGGGCTTTGTCTTGACCTAATTAAAGAAAATGATTAATTAAAATAAAATTAACTTAAACTAATTAAGAAAAGAAATTAATTTGAAAAGGATTTTTTAGGGTTTTTTATGAAAAAAGTTTTAAATTAATGAAAAAAATGAAGATT